TTCAATCTCCAGTACTAGAAACAATTCGACTAGCCAGCACAGGTTGCCCGTGTAATCCGGACAGCCGTGGGATTTCTGACAATTCGTCGCCCGGTCTTTCGTTGCTTCCGAGGGGCATATTTTATATATTAGACTTGTTGGCCAAAAGAATTCCTCAACGCCGGTCGTTTCTGCTCGTAGCACTGGTTGCTTTAACTTGTGGTATTCCTATCATCATGCATTTCACCAAGGTTTTTGTGGCTCTCTTTACCGTCTCTGCTGTCGCCGCACACCCCATGTTCCTGCAAGTATGTGTTATCTGAATCATACCCATGATGCAGCGTCTGACCTGTTTAAATCGTTGTAGGCTCGTGCGCCTGTCCCCAAACCCCCAGCTAAGGCTCCACTTAAGGCTCCAGCGCCCCCCGCTAAGAACGGAGGCAAGCCCAAACCAGCTGTCGTCACGGTCGGGCCCGAGGGTCGCCCAACGGACCGGATGAGGCAAGAGAATATGAAGCCAGGAAGGATCCTGTCAGTGTTCCTTCTTTCTCAATATTATGTTGAATTATCCTCATGCTGCTTTTAGTCCGCAGAAGTGCAAGATACATTTGGATTGCACCAACTGTCCCAACCTCAAGAATGGTGCGCGCGGCGTCGTATCCTGCGATATCAAAAGGGGTGGCTGGTGCAACTGCGATGATAAAGCAATTGCCGCGATCGCCACCCCCATAATGGGCACCATAATCAAAGGACTTGAGAAAATGGGCGATACTCCAGTTCTCAAGGCTATAAACCACCTCATTAAAGGGTTTGAGGATATCAAGCAAGTGGCGCAAGTCATCCTTAGTGCAGTTCTACCTCCTGGGGCGAAACAAGCGGTAAAAGCATTCTTTGAGTACGTTTTTCAAACTCACCCTCTGTCCGCTGTTGTTTTCTGACATTTTCATGCTACAGGGTTTGGCCAAAGTTCATGCCTTCCCACATTGATGATGCGACCAAAGGAGTCATCGACAAGATCATGAAGATATAGTCTCTATCTGATGCGATAGCAGACCAGTGGGGTAGAGGCCGTCCTTTGGCAGCGAGTACGAGTCCCCAATCGGGCTTCATTCTCCTTGTGGTTTTGATTATCTGTGATGCTTTATTGATCTCCCAGTAGCAGATTGGACAACAAGTGTATGTATTATGTACTAACATGACCGCTCATCGGGTACAAATACCGCCAGTCTTCATTCCCTTGGCCTCAGATGACCGAGTAAGTCAAAGTCGCCAACTTTCCAGGCTGGATGCTTTCGAGTTTCCAACCAGTCTCTTGACCAAGCGCTTCAAACTCAGCTTCCAAACGCTCCTTTGCATCATTAGCACACATCATCTAGAACAGAGTCAATACTAGCATTGGTTGTGGCGAAAGGAAACTTACCCCCATGTCCAACGCTGTGGAGAAACCTGCGCCTGCGATCCCAAAGTTGGCGAGAAGAGGAAACGGAACTTGAGGTTCTCCTCCAACAGGACAAGTATGTCGAGCTAGTTTCTCGAAGACGACGAGCTTGGAATTGGGCCCAGCAGCGGCGCGCAACTGACTCATGATTTGCTTGACTTCTTTGTCGGGCCAGTTGTGGACGATATACCGAAGAAAATAGACTGCGGCATTCTTCACTGGTTGCGGACTGAAGAAGTCGTGGACTGGCACTGGAGATCAGAATGAATTGGTCGACGGGATCTCAAGTACTTACCTTGTAATTTCACGTGTCCACTCGTCAGTGCCTCAGGGCCATTCTCCTGTGCTTTCCAATACTGTGAAACAATAAATATTGAAAGATTAGATCGGGAGAGTAAAAGGATAGTATCCATACCGCAACTGCTTCTTCGATCTGTTTGTCGAGATCCTGGACGACAAATTTGAGATGGGGATACGCTTTCCAGATGGCCTGTGTCGCTGTTCCGATACTTCCACCCACGTCCACCACCACATCATCAACTTTGAGTGACTTAGCATCGATACCTTGAAAGACCCATCAATCAAAACCTTTCCAATGACAGGACACATTACCGGAGATGAGAAACTCGGCAGGGTGTTGTCCCGCAGCTCCTGCCATAGCCGCCGTGGAGCGTTTCAATTGAAATTCGTTTCCTGGCTCCGTCAGCCAGTCCCACATCTTGCTTTCCGTTTTCATTGCAGCGTTGAAAGGGGGGATAACCGGGTGTTGAATGAATTCCGACATATCGGCAGCGACGGGCAAGAGGTCGGCGCTGAATACAACATGAGACTTGATTGTTAACTCGGAAGAGTCTTAGCCACACCTTTGTGAAATGAAGGCCGCCAGAGGTGCACCCTCGAACCGAGACTCGGGGCTGTAAATCATGTCGTTAAATACTGCGAGACAGATACTGGGATCACCTACTCTGCTTGGATTTCTTGCACAGTCTTCCGCTTTTTGAGAAGCGAAGAGATACGGTTATTGGCGAAGACATTGGGAGCGACCTCTTTATAGATGTGACGGGTTGCGAGATATCGAAGGATTCGGCCTATATAAGACGCCTCGCCGCCATTGATATCAGCAATATCGTCCAGATGCATTCCCTGCGCCACTTTCAATCAGTCTTACATGTCTTCTGTAAGTGAATGATTCCGTACCATCTCAGGTCCCTGGGCCAAAATGTCAGAAATATGGAGATTCTCGACAATCGCGAGATTGGCTGTGGTATAGAGTGCTGTGGACTCCTCTAGGAGCAACTCCGGCGGCGAGCGTACAGTTGCAATGAGCTGAGCAGCAGCAGCTACAATCAGCCGTCTAGTCTCAGCCAGCTTTGGATCAAAATCGAGCGGGGCAGGCTGGAAAGGTTTGTCCAGAGATGGAAAAGGAATCCGACTCTTTGAGTATTCAGACTCGAGATTTTCGACTTGAGTAGTGATGAGAGTCACCAATGCCTGCAGTGGGCTTGCCATGGTGAGATGTATGAATTGACTTTGCGGACATCTCTTTTATACTTTGGTCACTGGCGTGCCCTATCCCTGGGTCGCAGCATGCAACATGCACGGGCGCAGCGAGGAATATTATCAGATATGACAGGGCGCAGCAATCAGATAAGGATAAAGAGCCTGTGGCTTGTCTAATAAGATGTGCCGTGTACATACGCGGCATGCCGAACCGACCCTGATAATTGTATTTTACAAATATCTCCGGGTTCAATTTAATTACAGTTGCGCAGCTGTCATATACTGTACCTTTTCGACCAAGTCTTCACAGATTTGGTAAATTTTGGTCGCCGGTGAGGTCGAAAATTTTTCTTTTGATTCAACGCGATTTTTAAAAGGGTCTTTGTTCTCCGATGTTACGCGTTAGTCAGCTAGCTCCATCACAGCAGAAGTCATGATGAGGGATACCAAAGCAGAACTCACAGTCTGGGCCCGGTACTTGAACTCCGCACATTGCAATTGGGAAAGCTCCAGACTCTCTTCAAGTCTTGTTCTTCAATCGGTATCCCGTCTGATGCGCCCCTTGATACGCCGTCGGGCCTTGATCGAAAGGCGCATCAATTTCGGGGCGGGATAGCGGTATTTCCATGCGCAATGTCTAACGGATTTTCCACCTCGAGGATACAACGTCACAAGGCGGCAAGTTTCTCCTACGCTATGGATAATGATTCAGCAGCATGGAAATGCCACAAAGGCCTTGTATCAACCTAAAGGCCACAGGGTCTTGCGAAACGGTTGTTTAGGTGAGGGAGGGAGGAAGGAAGAGTAGTCATCAGAAAAGTGTCCAATTACTTTTTGCACTTTTCTGCGCTTTTTTTTGCGCTTTTCCCCGCTTTTTTCCGCTTTTTGCGCTTGTACATACGCAAAAATACGCAAAAATACGCAAAAAAGCGCAAAAAGTAAATGTACATTTTTCTGATGGTGGCTGTCGAAACGAAGGCGGGACGCAGAGTTATAGGTGAGATGAATCATTCGAAGGTTTTGTCACGAAGTCGTAACAGGCAGAATTCTATAAAAACGAAGGCTCATACCGAAGATTCTTCAGTATCATGTTTTCTTTTGTCGCGTTGATCGCACCTCTGCGCTGCTCTGCAGTCTCCGCCTCTGTGTTTGATGCCATGGAGCATCTCAGTTCCACACCTTGCTCGATTTTTCTTCCGGATGCGTTTCTGCGTCTTTTTGCGCTTGCACAAGGTCAAGCGCAAAATACGGTGAGGTCACTTGACTGCCATTGAGTTGGCCGGGGCAGGAACTGAGGAATCTGGGTGGTCTACTGTCGCTAAACGCTCTCACCCAGGACCACGGTGGGTCTCATGCCTCGAGAAGAGCCTGCAGGGCTGATGTCAAAAGCTAAGCCTGAGCGCTGCAAACTCAATGGGGGAGTGGGGTTCTATTTCTAACGAGGATGATGCAGGTTTGCGAGCAGAGACTTTTGTTCTTGTTCCCGAGCATGGAGGTCTCGAGCAGTATGTGATCGGTCCGGAGTAGTCTGGTGTTGATCGCTACAGTTCATCGTCCTGTTGTTGTTGCCTTTCAGTCATCATGTAGACGACGACCATGGCCATTGTGATGAGGATGTGGATGTGAGTTGTAATAGGAGTTGTCGTCGGTTGGGCTTTGCGGCGGGTGGGGACAGTTTCAGCTGAGAGTAGATGATTGACGTCGAAGACAACATGTTACACGTCTCACTTCCAGCTCGCTCTATGGACCGCTGAAGAGCGGACCAAGTACAAGCCTGCTGAAATGAGTTCTTCTATCTATAAGAACAGAACAGACGAGTTTTTGTTACCGCGTACGAAACATGGACACCAGGACCGTTGAGCTGTACTCGCTTGTATTAATACGTGGTTCTGTCTCGACTCTCTTGAGCATGAAGTGACCTTTCTCTCTCATATGAAGGAAATCTGTCATAGAGTCAAAGGTTTTACATATTGCATGTGTCTTCGACATGTCCACTCTGGTGATCGATGGCGAGATCTCGGATTAGCGTCATTTGCGGTGATCGGGTAGCGCATGTCAATCCATCAGTTCGCTATTTTCTCATGGCTACCTAGCGCAATGGTAGCGCGTTTGGCTTCGATGCTTAACGGTACCAAAAGGTTGCAGGTTCGAGTCCTGCGGTGGTCATTTTTTTTTTTTTTTGTCTTTTATTTAGAGATCCTTTTTCTGGCCGTCCGAACTCACATAGGCTGGAGCAAGCCTTACGTTACACCTTTCTTTGTACCCGAATATCCTCTGAGCACCTTCTCTTCAGCCCAAGCGAGGATTGATTGCCTCATATGGCACAGTCGATCTGGTCATTCTACCGCAAATGTCAACTTTCTTCCTACTACTGGAACCATTGTCGAATGCCCCGGACCAGCACGAGTCTGCTATGAACTATTTGCTCGGTGACAGAGCGGTCCGAGGAGGTTCCAGGCTAACATGGGGCCGAAGATGCAGGGGTGGTGGGTATTCCATGGCAAAGGTTCTTCCTGGACGGGGAGGCCAAAAAACACAGTGGTGCCCTGTCAAAATGACCACCGCAGGTCTCGAACCTGCAATCTCCTGATTCGAAAATGCGCTAAATATAATCGTAGTCAGACGCGATGCCATTTCGCCAGGCGGCCATGACAGGCAAAGGAAATGTAGTCCTATGGACGGAACCTATACTCATTTTAGACAGATTTAACGATCCACCCTCTCCAAATGCTTCAAACTATCCGAAAGCGCTACAGATTTCTACCTGTGAGGAATACAATCTACTAGTAATCAATGTCCGTCGTCTTTTAAAATGTCCATGGTGCTCCTAAAAAGCTCCGGGATTCTAGAAAGCCATCGCGATGCCACCGACAATGGCACCAAAGACTATCGCTGCGAAAGTAACCTGGGCTCTGGTACCGCCGTTGTCCGAAGAAAGTGCGGCAGCTGGAGTCGCTGCTGCCTTACTCGCAGTGACGGTGACATCGATAAAGGTGGTTGACATCCGCAGAGGCGAGGTCGTCGTAGGAGTTTCTGTCGCCACCGCTGCTGAAGTCAGAACTTCCACTGCAGATGACGTAGCTAAGACTTCAGCAGACGATGATTCGACGGAAGAAGTTGGAATGATGTCTACGGTCGAAGAAGTCGGAATGGCGTCGACTATGGAAGAGGTGGTAGGAGTGACCTGCACAACTGAAGATGTAGAAGTAACGGCAGCGGCAGCGACGACGAGATCCATGCAATAGTAGTAGCTAAAAACCTGTGAGCATCTATACGACGACAAGAGGACGGTCGTACTTTTGGCTCAAATCAGCTGAAGATTGACCATCAGCATGAGCAGAATATGGACAGCATACAACGTACGTGTTCCCCAGAACAGCTGCACAACGCAATCTCCAGCATTGGCACATTTGTTCCCAATGGTCGCCGCATCAGGCAACGTGAATTGTGTTTTGGTTTCTACGTCTGTGTTAAGCGGGGACACGAAAGGAAAGGAAGACGAACGATCAGCAGGAGTTCCGCCAGAAGTAGGGCAGAAATTATCAAAAGAAACTAATGTATCTCCAATACGCTCTCCAGACCCACCGACAGTCGTATCTGGAACAAGGTCAAAAGATCCGGAAAGAAACCATCTATGACGCACCGATGAGAGAGACATTCGCGGGTCCTCTGTGAATTGTCGGATGAGATAGAGACAGCGAAAAAGAAAGCAGCGACTAACCCGTGAGGAATGGTACAGTCAACATCAAAGCTCATGGCCTGTGCCGCTGTCGCCTGAACAACATTGCTGGCCGGTTGATCTGCGAATAGCATTCCTCTGCATAATGTCAATTCACAGCCAGCATTGACTGGCTCTTGTTCCTCGATATGGCCAGTCGGGTCGCCTGTGACAGAGTCGAAGGAAGGTTTGCCACAAGCGGCGAGGAATGCTGGACCAGGCTGGATGCACAGACGTGTTACTCCTGGGCTAGGAAAGAAGCCTAGGGCTCACCTGACGAATGACAGGTCCAACTTTTGCGTGAGCATTAACCAGAAGCAGATGTCCGGAAAGCACGGCGAGGGAGATTATGGATTGTAGCATTTCGACAAATAGGAATTATCGTGGCGAGAATAGGAACAGTAATATCACGTCGAAGAGGGACGCAAAAGACAAGCCAGTGTCGAAAAGAAGGACTGAAGAAGGCTGGTAATTGGGGCGTCAGTCAGTCCAACGACCATGATGTAACGGATGGACTTGCAAGAGCGAAAGGGAAGGGGTAGAACAAAAAGGAGGGAGAACAAAGGCGAAGAGAGAAGGAAGGAAGGGTCGTCAGCGGCTGTACGTATTTCGTCGTTGCGAGGTAATAAATGCGTTGCATCTAAAAAAGGCCGTGGTTACCGACCACCATCTGGTCCGGGCCGATGATGTGACGTCACATCTGAGGCATTTATTTTCACGCCGTTCAAACCTTAAATACACATTGTACAAGATCAAGGATTCTACTGGAGCATCCATCGCATGTTCGTTCTGTCAAACTGATACCACTAGTTTTTGGCCAGTTTATTGTTTATCCCGAGGGCGCTGTCACCGAGTAGGTCACCTTGAAAATACCCCAAGTTCAAGAGACTCCTTGAATGACCATTGACTGGCCTGAGTGAGGTTTTGATCCTAGTCTCTTTGACATTGTGATTATGTTTTTTTACATCCGATCCATCGGTGACTGAAGTCTGACTTGCATCCCGCCGTCGGATCATTTTTATCGCCGACTGCATAGTATATACAAGAGGCAGTGCGAAATCTGTCTCAGCCTCCCGTTCCTTCCCGTCTTTATCATGCTGTTTCGGTCCTTCTTCCTCACATTCTTTCTCCTGAACGTCGCTGCTGCTCTTCCAGCACTCGTGAGTGGTGCAATATCGTTTTACGAGCTAGCCAACAAACCAATAATTCACCCAGCCGTCTTTACCTCACGGCACCGAACCTTTCTTGATCCCCAAGGCCGACTCATCCATCCGATTAATGGAATTTTGCACCAGAGTTAATTTTCACGGAGTTTGTGCAATCGCGGTACACACGACGACACCGTAATGCCGACACCTTGCGCTGAACTGAGCGGTCCCTTCAGAAGCAGCCTTTCGAGCGCACAAGCATTTTCGTCAGACGTTGCATGCTTTTTGTTCCCGTGGGTCTCGTTTTTTTCCAGCGCCTCCTCCAGGAGTTCTGCTGCTTCATCGTCTGGTACTCATTTTTGGAACTGACAATCTGGATGTCAAGGGGCCCCGTTGACGGTCATCGGGGTGCTGCCAGCTTTCACGGATCCATCCATCAATTTCAACGATAAGGCACTGTCTTGGTATTGCGATAATTGGCCTTGATGAAGGAATGACTGTTGCAGAGTCATTATATGCGAGATTAAGATATTAAATTGCACGGCCTCGGATTGCCGTGTAATTCGTATAATATGATTACGAAGGGTGGCTTATCGCCTCTTACTCTATAACTCGACCAGAAGCTTGCACACTGCGGAAAATTTCGAGTCATTGGTTGGTTGCCTCGAGTCCGAGAGACTTGAATACCTCTGTGAGTGGTCGTGACCAAGTTAAGCCCATGTTGCTAGCTCTCCATATTCTGCGCCGCAAATTCCGTGTCTCACTCTCTGAGCTCGACATGTACATAGACACGACCCTTTCGAAACTATTCAATCCGTGTGGATGGTAAAAATGGGATACATGAGACCAGATCAGGTTCGAGACCTGATCGTCTATTAGGTGTGGGGTAGTAAAATAAATATATTTTATAACAAGTCATCAAACTTGAATCGTCTAGCAGAATCTTAAAACAGCTGCAATTTTCCTGCAAAATAATCATGGATGTTAACCTGCTAGCTTCTTCAGATATTTTAGAGCTTTCGGTGAATCGGACTTCGGCTTTTTACGGCCGACCAGTTTTTTTCCTGAATAATTTCGTTGTTTGGTTCAGCTTGGCAATCTCCGTCCCGACACCGAACCTTTATTTCAACCACCATCATCCAGCAGCGGGTGGTTCCACCAGCAGACATTTTTTCAATGGGCTCCGACTTGGTAAATACGTTCATTCCGAGTTCCCATCTGTCGCTGACAAGTCTTTAGTTCCGAGCTGCCAGCGCTGGTGACCTCAAAGCCATCCAGCGCCTCGGTATTCGCGGTTCTCGCGACCAAACCATATTCATTCGCTTGTTACCGATAATCCTCGTCCATCTCGAAAAGCCTCTTCCCTGCAACGCGCTTAGTACCACCGAAATCCAGAGATTCATCAACTCCAGCCCAGTCGTTGCTTCGCTGGAGGCCCTTGCTCTGGGCTTGACCAATGTTCAGTCCATGTCAAATCTGCAGCCCACGCTACCGCCGATTCTAGAACAGTGGGATTCCTTACACCGATGGCTGGCCTTTGGTGTAGAAAACCTTCTTCTCTCCCAGTCACCGCTCATCAACTCCAGCTCCTCTGACGAGCGAGGTCTTTTGCATACGTTTGCTAGGATCGTTACTGGGTTACCGATAACCAATGGTGACCGTTGCCTGATGCCTGGGTTGTTCCAAATCACAATACAGCTCTACCTCCGTGCTGCGTCCATCTGGGGCTTCAGCAGGCACATGAAACAAGAGGGGGTGCTCATGGTTCTCAACCAACAAATTGACTGGCTTCTGGGTCGCAAACACCAGAGACAGGAAGTCTTCGATGCTCTCCAAGAGACACCTAATTCCATCGACATCGTCCTTTCGGATCTGAATGACGTCCAGCCGAAATATATGGAGTTGAAGGCAACAACCCTACATTACGTGCCGTTGAGCATGCTCCTGTTCGTAGCTGAATGCAAGGCCGATGCTTCTTTCAACCACCCAGCTATCAGTGTACTACATCGCCAATTCGCTGACAGCGGTTCATTTCCCATCATAATCTCACTGCTAGATCGTCTGAATCACGAGTGCTCTGGCAAAGAGCTGGAATGGACAGCCGAAATCAACTTGTTCATTTCCGGGTATATCTACTCGGCCACAATGGAAATAGGCCCAGCTTGCATCGCTCGAGCTCTTGACGGTGGGCTTCTTGGAGCCATGGCTCGTTCATTCCCAATGCTCTCACGACGCTCCGACAGTTGCAAGAAGGCGCTTAACCAGTATGATGTGAATCTGCGCCTGTTTGAAACATTCATGCTCCATCCCCCAGTCTTCCGTGCGGTCAGACGATGGCTTCACAGCCCACATTCTCAGTACTCAATCCCCAAGAACAAAATTCCGACTCATGAAGGCTCAGGATGGCACCGATTCCATGAACTCTTTCCGTCGATCTTAGCAAGCCGCCGACTCTACAAACACCTATCTCGCCCGATCTGCGAAAATTTGAAGGTATGTAGTGACCGATTCAATGCTGTTATTTAATTTTGAAAGTTTTCGCAGTGTACAAAGAAAGAAACTCCGGTTAACCGTGCCAAAGCTTGTGGAGGTTGCTTGACTGCACATTACTGTTCTGTCGACTGTCAGAAGGAAGACTGGCTTGCGCGTCACAGACAGATATGCCGACCACCACCTGGTAGGTCATTGATTCATCAATTCATTCACCGATTTGAGGAATCCTTCGCAGCTGTTTACTCGCTCGTCAATTCCCCATCCATTCTACGTGACTTTGTGACCTGGA